ATTGTGTCCTTGAGGTGGATGCACTCTTCAGTAACATGCCTGTGGCTCTTATGGAACCGACAATATTTTGTTTTGTCCGTGTTGGGCTTGAGAGGTGTTTTCCTGTGGAAACGGACTCCAGCTTGGAAAAATTATGAGTTCGCGCATTCAGAAAAGATATGTTCGCGAGAAGCGGCTATAGGTGTATATTCGGAGAAATGGACAGTGGGTCCTTTGTACTCCCGGAAATCGCAGGATCTATACTCTTTTCGCTTCGTTTCTCCTCGACAAGGTGCTGAGTGACCTTCTTGCTTTGAAACCCTGGCACTTTCTTGGTGTCGTGAGTCTCGAGCATTATTGGCGGCCTCCTTCTCCTTGTACTGAATGTAGGCTTGGGCAAATACTTTGGAAAAATCACTGAGGGGACACAGTCCTCGCTCTAGCAAATACTTCTTCATATCGTCGGTCGTAAATACATGGACGGCTTCCTATTTAAACCTCTCGATGTATGCTAGAAGGGATTGGTCTTTCCTCTGTATGAGTGCTTCGAGTGACGCTACAGATTTCGGATGGTGGCGAGAAGCTGTGAAGCACCTTGAGAATTGTTTCCATAGGTATTTCCAGGAGATGATGGATTCGTCAGGTAGGCTTTTGTACCACGACATGGCACCCTTCCTTAGAGTGGTGGGGAATAACCTATATTTGATGGCATCCCTGACGCTACGACAATCGAGTAGGGCATCAATGTTTTTGATGTGCTCATCAGGATCAGTTGTTCGATCATATATCCCTAAGTTTGGTGGCTTTTCTAGTCTGGCGGGGGAGGGAGTATCCATGATTTCCAGGGATAGAGTATCCATGGTCGTCAATCAGCTTTGGTTTTCTTGGAAACTGGGGAGCGTCGGTCCTTGTGAGGAAGAGTGTGGTTGCGCTTTTTGACCAACAAGGGTTCTGATTTTTCTGTTTCCAGGAGGCGGCTTGGTCATCGTTGCAACGGACTTCGAGATCTATATTTTTGGCGTCTCTGCGAAGGAGACCTTGAACGACGCTCTTTCTTCAATGCACCGATCCTTTCATTTTGTTGGTTGATCAAGGTGTTAGTCTGGTTGAGCGTTGCGACCAAGGTCGTCATAGTCGGATTGACGTTGGATGGGGCCAGAATCAGCTGAAATTTCTCAGGAGCCCCGTCTTGGTTTTCTTGGTTTCCACAAACTAGACGTCGGAGGAAGGAGATGCAGTGCGATCGTCTCTCCTTAGGGGTAAGGTTTCTTTGAGAAATGACATTTCTCTGTCGTTGTCAGTTTTACGGACGGGTGAGATGACGGTTTGTGAGTGTTGTTATCGTCGTCTTGACCGGCCATGATCGGATCTTGAAGGTTTGCTTTAATCTTTTGGTTTCAAGGAAATAAAAGATGGGGAAATAATGTTTCCCACAGACAGCGTCATTGATCTTACCGGTGATCAGAACCTTAATGGGCCAGTAACTTTGTCCGTAATACTAATAATCAAAGGAGGGGATGTACTTTCAAGGCAATCTAATGCTCAAGTAAGTAAGAGTGCAGAGGTAATTGAGAGAAAAAATGGTTAAGTTGAATATTTGACCCTCTTATGCAGGAGGATATTTATAGTTCCCTCAGTGCTGGACCAATGGTTTCCATTGTGGGCCGAATATCTAGGCCAAAAAATAGATAACTATCAGGATTTCCGCGTGAAAGCAGGGACGAGCAGCTCGTGCTCGCCCTCCTAGAGAGTTGCCTCGCGTCTCGCGGGCAATCGCGGATTGGCCGTCACCAAAGGCAGAAACGTATATTGTCAGTTACGCGAGATGTGCAAGATCAGTTGGCCATGTGTCCTCAGAAGAGAGGCATGCGGGAAATGTGTTTCATGCTGGCCCTAATAGATTGAACCAGCGCTCATGAATCATCCTTGACAGAGAGGTGGATTAGACCAGTCACAAACCCAGTCCAAAACATATAGTAATGTTAAGTTTAGTTTTAAATGTCAAATATAATTAAATAATAACTAAAATATTTTGCGTTTCGAAAATATTATGTGGTTTTTTTTACAAGAAAATTTTTAAAATGGATTGTGTTTTGTTTAAAATATTAAGTAATATTAAATATAGTTAATTAATAATTAAAATAAATTGAAAAAAAATAATTGTCAAAATATTAATAGTTGAGGTATATTTAGTAAGCTAATTAATTGTTTTAAATATTAAATAGTTAAAGTATAGTTAATAAACTAATTATTTTAAATACTAATAGTTAAGGTATATTTAATTGTTGAATTTAGTAAACTAATTAAATATTATAATTATTTTGATTAATAATTGAGTATTTTAATTAAATATTAACTAATTAATAAAATAAATAATTATTTTAATAAATTAAATATTTTAAATATTAGATAATTAAGGTATATTTAACTATTTAAAAGACAATTTGTTACTACTATACAACAATTAATTGTTACTAAATTCAAATACAGTAGCACTTATGTAACATATATAATTATTGCAATATTAAATATAGATGGGAAGTTTGGCTGGGTGGTTAAAGTGTACTTTGTCATACTAAAGAGTATGGGCTTAAACCCTCTTGACTACAAGAGAAAAGTCCCTATAACGTTTGGGACCAAACCCAATACATAATTGACATATAAGGAGCTTTTGACTAAAATAAAAAATCCGTCAATTTCAGGACCAACTATTTAAGCTATATCTTATTATCTAATTGGAGTAACTGATTCTCACAGTTTAATCGGTTATTTCTATTTTCTTTTTTATTATTTCTTTTATCGGTTTTTTAAGACATAGGGTTCTTATAACTCAACCGAACTGAAACAGAACCCAATTATCAGTTGAATCGGTTGTTGAATTATCCGGTCCGATTCAGTTTTAAAAATATTGCTTTTCTTCCTTTTTGGACTTCATTTAATTATTTTTATATTTGAGAGTTTCTTATTACATAGTATATGTTTAAGAAACGTTCTATGTAATTTCTAAAAAGTCACTATATTTTCAAAGATATATCTTTCGATGTACTATTTTTTGATAAATTTTAGTTTATTTCGTAAATACATTTTCGAAATTTATGCTAACAGAACTAGACTATAATTTTCAATGTTTCTCATGTTTTAACTACAAAATGAAAACAAAGACTATATTAACAACATGAATACAAAGATATATATATAGGTGTACAAAATATTATCCAAAATAAATTCAAAGTCGATAAACAAAATATTATTCAAAGTCGATAGTCAAAATACAATTCAAAGTGTACAAATATCAAGACTAATGCGTATGACAGACTATGAGTCGGCCTCGCACTCTCCCTGCGTTCTTGCGCTGTCTCCTGTACAACAGAGCCTCCCGAGCCTCCGTCATAATGGCATCTAGAACACCTTTCACTGAGAGCCATCAGGAAACAAACCTCCATCAATACCTGTCAGCCCAATCACCACGATACGACGACACCTAAACAACACATCATGAGCATGATCGACCATAGCATACTCTTTCTCTAGAATTTCTTGATGAGCTGGCCTAGGTAGGTTTCCTAGAACATCATGTATCAAATATGGATGAGACACTTTGAAGAACCATCGGATGTAATCGTTCACGTAGCTCTAGTTGTTCGGTGTTATGGTACTATGTGCCTCATCTGATACTATATGATTAACATAATCATCAAACATGACATCCATATCCTTGCGTTTCACTAGAGGGGAGCAGACACCACAGAATCTCTGAGAATGTACCGCATGTAGCTGAACTGGTGCATGACGCGCTCAGGACCTCAAAAAAATATTCATTGATGACAATAACAACCTAACTAAAACGTTCAACCATACTTCTAAGCTTACAAACACAAAATATTTCAATTTTCTAACCTAAAACTCAATTTCTAAAGGTATTTACATTAATTTAAAAAAGCTCAAAAAAACTTACAATTTCACTTCAAAATCTTATTCTTATTTATTTGATGATTTTTGATGAGATTTTCGCACAATGAAATTGGTGGTGTTCTAGAGAGTTTTGAGGTTTTGAAAAAAAATATATAACTGAAAGTGAGGAAGATAAAGAGACAAGTGTATGTATTAGTGTCACTTAGTCTTGTTCATCAATATGCATTTTACGGATGCTTCCGAAAATACAATTCTGAAATCTAAGGACATTCTAGTATTTTCGCGTGGTGCGTTAATAAAATATGGGGTATGTTAAAAATTCCTTATATATATTTTTTCAATTCTGTTTAAAAAAACATAGCTTTTCTTCCTTTTGGATTTCCTTCAATTATTTTTATAAATTTAATAAAAAATTAATAAAAATTTCTAAAATAATTTAAAGACCGGCAGGGTAAATAAAACTAAATAAAAACAAGTCATTGTTTCACAATATTCACCTTAAGTAGAATAAGCGCTTGTAATCATCAATATATGAGACTGCTTCAAGTAAAGTGATTGTAAATTGTAATAAATATATGAGACGTGTCAATTATGTAGATTAGCATAGATGAACACGTTACACGACCTTTCCAGCTCTCTCTTTTTTCTTCATTAATAATACTAACAAATAAACGAAACAGACTTTTGTTTTCAAATAATAGATTTACAAGACACCTAGTATTAGTATTAACTATCATCAGTATTTAATATTTGAATCAATAGTATATTGTTTTTGTTCTTGTCCAAATATTCAATTACAAAACTAATACCAAATTTTGGTGGACATCTCACTAAATCTTTCCAGAATCTTCACTATCAAGTATCACTAAATCTTTCCAGAATCTTAACTATCAAGTATCCAAGGCCTCTATCAAGTAACCTTAACTATGGCGCCATGTTACAGCAAAAGAAACAAATCTCCAAACAGTGGAGATCAAAATAAATTACCAAGAGAAAAAACAAATGCCTAACTTAACAATACATGAATAATGGCAGAAACACACTTACACAAGAATTTTGAGCAACCAAAACCAAAAATCACCTAACTCCTGTTGGCATATCGACCATACTTAAGCAATAGCATACTCTACAGTTTCCAATTCTGTAGGCCGCCACATGGACTTCTGGATGTATAAAAAGCCCTCTGTTTCTTTAGAGTAGGTCATGCGAACCTCCCACTGCATAGACTTCAGCAAGCTCTGAAGCTCATTAATGATCTCAGCAGTGTCTCGGACAATAAGCTTTCCGCCAGGCCTGAGAATTCTATCAACCTCGGCCACTACAGCTTCAAACTTGCATCTGATTGAACAATATTTCAAAATGAGATAAAAATACAGATTGTTTCTTTTCTGAAAACCAAGGTTTGCTGAATGAACAAGAAACGAAATAGGTATTAGTACCTTTTCTTAAGCTTTGAAAACAAATGATCTGCGTGAAGTAGATCGTAGGATCTGGGATATGTGCTAAATGATTCGCACCAATCATGATATATGCCAAACAGCCCCCGTTCAAAAATAATAGGAAGTGTGTCTGGTGAGTCTACCGTAACCACATTCATTACCCAAATATTCAAATCTCTCAAAGCTGCTGCAAGCCTGGAATCCAAAAATCAGAGGAAGGTGTCAGACACATAAGACAATAATGGCATGCCAATAGAATTCAGTAACATTGGAAACAACAATTTTTGCTCACCCTCCATAAACAGATCTCATGTCCATGACATTGCGCACATTGGACCACTGAATGCCCATTCCATTTAAATAAGACTTGGACACTACGCGTTTCCAGTATTCATAATCAGCAGCAAAATCTTCGGGAGCAGGCTTTCCATAAACTCCAACTTCAGAGTTTGATAACCAGTAAGGTGATTGGCCGAGTCTTGCTGGCCATTTCTCAGGCCACTGTGACCCACGTTCTGTAGAACTCACTGGCGCTTTGTGCATGCATGTTTGCAATGGAACGTTCCTGTGACGACAGAGCCCATCAGCCATATATTACAGACAAAGATGAATATCTTCTATTTTTGTTTTTAATTTAAAATATTATAATGGCGCAGTCAGAGGAGAAATACCATGCAGCATTAGGATCATCAGAGTCTTGACATAGAGAAGGCTCATTCTTGGAACGTTTCTCATAACACTCATTAGAAGTTGGCTTCCTGTATACAGCTATACCAACTCCATTAAGTTTATCCTTGCTGATATTTACCACTTCCCAGCACATGGCTTTTGTTAGTGCCTTCATTTCTGTAAATTAACTCATAAAATGTCAAACTTAATATACCAAATTTTAAATGCTTAAAAGAAGAAGATAATAGTGTGTGCTACCATTACCTTTCCATATTTCTACATCTTCAGGAAGCTTCTGATAAATAGGAGTAGCAGACCATACAAAGAAACCACCAGGTCGCAGTACTCTATTCAGCTCCAAGAGAAGTTTTCCACCTACACATGCACAAATATTGAGCTTCTAAAAAAAGCCAATTTATTTACACATATTAAATATAATATAAATGCAAATTGATGGAGGTGAAATATTAAAATGCTGCTTAAAAATTTCAAGCTTGTATGACCAAAAATTCATCTAATTGCCACTATGAAGGTTAGGTTATTGACATATTGAAATACCTTCTATGTGCCATGGAACTCTACAGCGTGCACAATGGACTGCATCAAATACTCTAGCAGGGAAGGGAAGCCTCTTTGTTCCCATCACAGCAGATATAGCAGGAATTCCCCTTTCAAGTGCAAATTGTACTTGAGCTTCATGTTCATCTTTTGGTGCAAATGACATTGCAAGTACATCTCTTTCAAAGAGAAAGCCACCAAAGCTGGCAACACCACATCCAACATCTAATATCACACGTGTTTGTTTGCCCCAGGCAATATCAGGTACGAACTGCATTATCAATATTCATTATATTTAAGTAAAATACTCAGCAACATCAAGAAAATATATTAAGTATCTGCCAAACTGCATATCAATTATAGGATGAAATCATTAAAACCATCATTACTATGTCCTCCAACAACCTAAATGAATTTTTTTGGTAAAAGTTCAACTGAAGATATCTCCTAGTGCACAATAAGTGTATAGTTCCTAACTGCCTGATTTTCGCTATACAGGCACCGGAAAAACAACTAACCACGGACAGTAAAACAAAATATATTTACCTGTTGTATAGCGTCGATGTAATGAAGTGCACCGTGTTTGAATTGTGTTCCACCACCGGGAAAAGTAAGATACTCGCCTGTAACTTTTACCCAATTCTGGTGCCCCTTATATTCAGCAAGCTTAGTGTGTGGAACATTGGTATACCATATCTGAAAGAAAACAAAAAATATTTTATTTTTTAATTAATAAAATGATAAGTTGAGAATGAAAATTGACAAGCAATCTAGTTTATGTTTACCTTCTCTCTGCTTTTGGGCCACTCAATTGGGCGTCTATATCCTTCAGGAAGAGGGACAAGGCAGGTAGGAGGATCTTGAGGACATTGCCTTTCTCTGTGTTCATAGTGTTTAGTAGTTCGAAGGCTTTTAATTGCCTTCAAGTTGTCAAGGCATGGAATGTAATCAGGCCCAGCAGTGACATTGCAGAGTTTCCAATTGAACCCGGTAGACTGCGCGGATGACTTTTGAGACTCTTTTTCATTCTTTGACTCTGCTGCCTGAGTTGAAAAAGAACCATTTTGAGTTGTACTTTCATTCAGAAGCTCTGACTGGGTCCCAGAAGGGAGTACCTCATTAGAGCCCTGGTTGTTGGTATTTTCTTCTGTTTTCTTCTCATTAGAGCTTTCATTAGACCCCTGGTTATCACTTTGATCTACCTTTTCTTCTGTTTTATTATCTGTTGCTTCATTCGAGTCATCAGTTTTATTTTCACTTTCATCTGAACCAGTGTTATTTCCTTTTTCATCTGAATCAGATTGTCCTTTACCATCTGATTCAGATTTCTTCTCACTCTCATCAGAATAGGACTTCTTCTCACTCACATCAGAATCCAACTTCTTCTCACTCACATCAGAATCCAACTTCTTACTGTCATCAGAATCGAACTTCTTTTCGCCCTCATCAGAATCAGATTTCTTGTTATCCTCATCAAAACCAGGTTTGTTATTGCTATCATCTGAATCAGATGACTTCACTTTCTGAGTTGAATCAGCATATACCAGTTTCGTATCTTCAGGAGACTTATCAGAAATAATTTCCTGTTTTTCTGGTATAACAGGATTGTTTTCGGATGAGACACTGCTATCCTTTTTGATTTCATCCTGAGGCAGATCTCCCTGCTTATCTTCAAACTGCTGAGCATTACTATTACCGGTATCACTAGTGGCTTCACTTGCCTGATCCTTCACCTCACTCTGTTCTTTCACCTCATTCTTATTATTCACCGAAGACTCGTCTACATTTTGCACAGGAACTACCGAATACGATGTCATCATCCATAGCCCAACCAAGCATAGAGCCACAAACACAACAATAGTCACCGTCGAACAGTAACCCGACGGCCGTTTGTTATCTATTCTAGAATATTTCGCTTGCGCCATTTTGTCACTTGTCAGCAGGCCGAGGGTCTTACAGATAGTCTAGACCTGGTCATCATACATACAACAATTAAATACCACCCACACTTTTCATCTTGTATGATGGTAAATTGGTAATAATATTCAATTCCCAAAATACATGACATGAATTACAGAATCACATATAAATCAAATTTAGAATACTTATAAATCTCAAATTATCTCATATATGTAATGTAAGGTTTTTTAATTATCTTATTTTGCTTAAATCATAATTTAATAAAAACAGAAAATATACAATTATTAAAAAATATATATCATCTCTCTCAGGTAAAATGAAACAATCGAATTAGTAAAGAAAACTACCAGATCTAATAGATTCATCCACTACGCGTGAGTTAGTGAATCAAAACAACAGCATAAACGGAATAATCCGTGAAATTGACGCATAGAGTTATTAGCGCGAAATTCAGATCAAGGAGAATTTTGAACAATTGAACAATTGAACAATTGAAAATGGAAGAATACAAAAGGAAAACAGCGTGATTTGAATGTGAATGAGAAAAATGAATAGACGTTACCTTAGGCTATTCGGAAAGAATGAGATCTGAGAGAGAGAAACGCTATCTCGGCATTGTGTAACGCGTGAGAGAGGAATGAAGGAAGAAAGAAAAAGATGAGAAGTGAAATCTTGAATTTGGTATTATATATGATTTGGGGCGGTGGGGTAGAGTTGATAAGGAATAGAATAATTGAAATGAATTGAATGTTGTTGTGGGTTAAGGGAAAGGAGAAAGGAAAGAAAGAAAAAAAGAGAGATGGTTGAAGTGAACAGAGACCAAAGGATGGGAAACGAAAAAACAGAGACTACGAGAGAGTGACGGCCGCGTGAAATCCGTGAAACCGGTGTGAATCAGCATGTGGGAGTCGCTAAATAAAGGCCCGAATTGCATTAATCTCGCTTTGCCTTTTTTTCTTACATCTTCTTTTTTGGTAACTATTCTTTTTAAGTAAGATCATTTCATTAACAGCTAAATAATTGACAGCTTGGCCTTTAAACAAAATTAAAGGTAATATTTTTAAGAATTGAATTCAAATTTGATACCATCCTAGTGGTTTTCAAATTTCAAACGCATAGAATAATGAGATTTTTTCTATTTTGAATCCATTTCTTTAATTTTATTTAAATTGGTTTAAGTTTTTTTTATTTCATCTTTTTTAAATTAAACCAGTAAAAAACTCATGATATCGCATAGATCTCGTGTGAAGTCATATTATATGTCTCTCATTCTCATTGTTAAATTTGCATTCATTTATTCAGTTGGTTAATATTTATATAGTTACAAACATAATAAATGTTTGAATTCATGCGCTTATTTAATAAAAAAATTATAACTTGTTCCAGTTTATAAAAATAATTGTATCAATAGTTGAATTTTTCTCATTTATAAAAATATTTGTAACTTATTCTCGTTTATAAAAATTGTTCAGGACTCGGTCTGCGTTTGATCCACTGAGGGGTGTGGCCTAGTCCGACGTTCCCTTAAAGGAGGCCCAATTATATGGTCTCACTCATAGCCGTTGGGGAACACTCTCCACGTGCCCCTCGGTGAGCACTTAGTCAACGACCCTCCGATTATCACAAAGCATCTTGCTCTCCATGAATAACTGGTCATCCGTTATTCGAAGAAGACACGAAAATTGAACCAGGATCGTGAGCACGCGCTGCTCCATTTTACACGCGTGAGTCATGGCAGCCGTTCATTGTGTGCCTGGATCCTCAGCCTATAACGAAGGTATTGGTCAAACGCTAGGGGCTATAAATACCCTTTTTTCATTAGAGGGTCAGGTATATCATTCTTCACATTTTTCATTACTTGCATTATGCTCTGAACCTTACTTTGGCATCAGAGTGTCTTGTAGGTACCCCCACTTCACTTTTAACCATCGTTCAATCCAATCTTGTGGGCCATCGACGATTCTTTCTTATCAGGTACGATCAGTGGCGCCGTCTGTAGGAAATTGCTTCCTTGTCTTTCTTTAACTTGAGATCAAAGAAAACTTTCAACCTCCTGATCGTCATGGTCGATCAAGTCAACAACGGTGACCAGAATGTTCACTTCGCTGACATTGGCAACAATAACAACGTGGGAATTCCCGAACACGAAGATAGGCACGGGAGGACCGCTTATTCCTTCACCTTCCCGCATCCTCTTGACAATCCTTATCGACATGTCGACAAACCCGCGTCGTATCAGGAAATCCTAGTGCCTGCCAATGCTAATCTTGCGACTCAGGCCATGTTCACGGTGATCAATCAGACCAATTACATAATCTTCGTGCAGGGTGAACGCCTCGAAATGTTGGAGAAGGCCCGCCGACCACGCTCCCCCTGGAGGCACGGAAGATATGATTCACGCAGCCCGTCTCCATGATGATGTGAAGCCCATTCATGATCTCCTCTGCGGGGACACCAACAGAAAGACTCACACAGTTCCTCTCCTTGTCGCATTGGGCGAGGCCCTCGACTGGAGAGGACCCAACCTGAAATCGTCAAGAAGCGCGATCGCACTCCACCGTGCAAAGAACGGTGATCCCCTGCTTATAAGAGGAATAATGGCAAGGAAGAAACAAAGAGAACTCGGGCAAGTAATTCTCTCTGCCGTACAGACCACCATTTCGACCATTCCCCAGAATGAAGCAATGAAGACGACCCCTGCGGTCTATTATCCCAAGCTATTATGGAGGCCCTTATTCCTAAGGGGATGGAGAAACCTCCATCTTTGAACAGCTACGATGGCGCTATAGACCCCAACGACCACTTTGATAGCTTCAAGGTAATGCTGCACTTCCACAATGTCGGGGGTGTCATCATGTGCAGGATTTTCCCCACAACTCTGAGGAAAACTTCCATGGACTGGTACAAAAGCCTTGCCTCCGAGTCCATCACCTAGTGGAAGATTCTGAAGAGCCAATTTTCCAGAAACTTCACGGTCTCTCGATGACACCCCAAGACTGAGGCGTCCCTCGAGGCAATCTTCCAGGGGAGTAACAAACCTCTCAGAGCTTACATCGAGCGACTCAATCGCGAGGCCATCCAAGTCCCCACTACTGACCGCATAAAGAGGTACTTGCTCGAAAGAGGCCTTCTACCGGGCAGCGACTTCTGGAAGGCATTCGGCATTGAGCCTCCCCGATCATTGGATAAAATCCTCCATAAAGCTCGGGCCTATATCACGTACGAAGAGAAGGAGGCTGTCAACAACACCCATGATTCTAGGAACCGCGGAACACCCAGTGCCCCTGAGGCACAATGATGCAAAACCATCTTACCGAACCGGGGATAACATAAAAGAAGAAAGACCCTGTAACTCCTACGAGCACAGAGGCCCAGCTGGATTCTTCACCGAGTACACCCCGCTGACTGCTCCCCATGAGTGTATCTTTGTGGAGTGTGCCAATCTTGAATTTAAGAATGATGGGGTTCGACGACCCAAACCTATGGCTCTCAAGCCCGGGGTGGGCAAGACCAAATACTGCCAGTACCACCAAAGTCACGGCCATGTCATTGAAGACTGTGTACCCCTGAAGGACGCCATTGAGACCCTCATTAAGGGAGGGAGACTCGGGAAGTACAGAAGGAAGGATTCCCCTCGTCGTGATAATCGCGAGGTAAAAGAGATTGAGGAGGAAACACAACCCTCTGATGAGGCTAACCCCCTCCAAGTTGCTTTGAACATCTCGCGACTCGAGGATTTTTACATTCCCGACAACATCGATGAAGAGGAGCCCTTGTTTAGCCACAGCAGATGGGAAAAATTCCCCTCCTCCATGGTCATATCCGGAGGTGGATTTGGCGCCTTTTTTGTGAATTCAGCGAAAAGAAAGTTCAATGAGCTGATAGATGCAACCCCGGTCCAGACCGTAACCCTTGATAATTTCTGGGGAAAATCTGAGCCCATCACCTTCTATCTCGAGGAATTTCTCAGTGGAGCTCTCAACTCAAACGTACCTTTGCAAATGAGAGCAAATATGGCCAACTTCTACGTGCATCGTATCTTGGTCGACGAAGGGAGTTCTGTCGTCCTGTACACCCAGTTGTTCCAGACTTTCCAGCTCGACAAGTCCCACTTGTCATCGTATGTGGGATCCGATTTGCAAGGCTTCAACGACTCAACCTCTAAGGCATGGGGTTACATCGAGTTGCTCCTAATGGTTGATTGCCCGTCTCTCTACAATTGCATCCCGGGGAGGCCGACACTGGTCGAGTTGACTGTCGTACCCTCCACCATCCACCTAAAGGTGAAGTTATACACAAAAAGGGTAGCGTCACCACCATCCCTGGACAGATCGAAGCTGCGAGAAGATGTTTCAATGCACCCTCCAAGGGACAGAATATGGTAGACACAAAGCCACGAGCTGCCAACGGAGCAACCTCCTCGGCAGTAGCGACTTCCTTGGTAGACAAGGCCGCTCAAGCTGAAGAACGGGGACTCCACCCAATGTAGGCTCCATTGACCTAGACACCTGATTCACCAAAGATAAAGTCAAAGTCCCCAGTGGAAGACAATATCCTCTTTGTCCCATCCCCGATGGAGACTTCGAAATCATCCCCCTCGACGAGGACCTAAACAGAGGCGTGAAGATTGGAGTTTGACTCCCCGATCTGGCGAGGAAGCAGCTCGAAGCTTTCTTAAGGATGAATGTTGATTTGTTCGCATGGAGCACTGCAGGAATGCTGCACTCGACGCTGAGGTCGCCTGCCACCAGTTCGTTGTAGATCCTGTCACTAGGGCAGTAATTCAACATAGATGGAAGCAGTCTCCCGAAAAAGCTGTAAAATACCTTCTAGAGGCAAATTTTATTTATGAGGCCCAATATGAAACCTGGATCTCCAACGTTGTACTTGTTAAGAAAAATAATGGAAATGGCGTATGTGTGTTGATTATGTTAGAACATAGTTTGATTCTACAACCCTTGTAAGAGTTTTGATGATAACAAACACAAAGAACAATTATGCACTC